GTATTCCTCACTTTATGAATATTTTATTATTTATCTATATATTTATATAAACCTATTCACCTGTTTCAATTACGTACACTATCTGATGCACATTATATAGGAATAACAAAAGAAAAAAAAACTGTTGAAGCTGCAGAACTTCATTCCTTTTAGAAACAATATCAAATGTACAGAGTGTGTTGGCTATTTTCTCCCACGTCTTTAATTCTTCAGATTCAGCCTAATCTTTGATGCAAACATTAGCAATTTTGAATTGATTTATGAATGTAAATGTATTCATATTTAATAGCAAACATCTTCTTACTATCTGGAAAAGGAACATGTTTTCAGTATCTTCTGTTTCCAAGTTCCCCTATTCCAACATCACCCACAGACGTTCAGTTTCTGCCCCCCATATTTACACCTGTTCCCCAGATACCCAGCTCCATGTTTAACCCCTTAAGGACCAAACTTCTGGAATAAAAGGGAATCATGACATGTCACACATATCATGTGTCCTTAAGGGGTGCCCCAAACTCTCTTACATTTCCTGTCACATCCCAGTCAGATTATTAGCCTTTTATTCAAATGTCCACCTGTCCTTTATATTTGCTGCCTTGTTCATGTTTTCATTTCTCTTCAGTTTCCAGTCTCTACTTGTCTTAATTTCATTTAGACTTAGGGACACTCAACTGCCCAAATATAAAAAAATACATAAATTAGTAGATGTACCAACAATTAAAAAAATGCATGCATTTAAATATTATTATTTTTTGCATTTGGGGCATATCTAACACAGCCTGCAAAAGTTGCAGATCTCTTGTCTGCAGGCTTTGCAAACCCTCCCTTTTTCAGCCCCTCCTAGACATTATGTGGCTGTCCAATCACAGACTTTCCAATGCAGTTCAATGAGAAGTTTTTGCAAGGCAGGTCCTCTGGGCAATTGCCTGCCTGGAGAGACCAGTATGTCTGACAGCTATGCAGTGTACCAGTTTTATGTATATATTGAAATCTGCATTTCTGCAAAATCTTTGAAAAAAAAGAGGGCATACTCTCACACATAAAGCACTTCAGCAAGATAAAGTTCTTTAGGTGTGTGGAGTGTTCCTATAAGTCCTGTTGCCATTTGTGCACAGTGAGGGGACTCATCCCTTATAGTTAATGGAGACAGATGGGTCTGCTTCTGCTGTCATTACACTTCAGCATTGGCGTGACTTCAATACCTCATGATACCTTAGCTATGCTTGGACATATTTTGACCCCACTCAGGTTGCACATGTTTAGCTACCATTTTTGACGCAGTCCCATAGAAACTAGACTATGGCTATATAAGGCCACTCCTCTTAACTGAGATCCCATATTGACTGTGGTGTGAGCTTTAGTTGTTGGCTTAGCTTTGTTTGGGCCACCCTAAGGACATAATTTCTGCAGTTTAGCTGCAGAACTCTGAGGTTTTGTGCTGGGCTGTCTAGCCTTGACACCATAAAGGGAAATGGCCACCCACAGATGTTCCTGTTAACCTGGCTTTTCTGGACCACCCTGCCAATTATGGCTATTGACACCAGGATAACATATTAGATCTATAATTCTTATTTTTCACACCTTTGAGACTGATCCTAAGCTCTGTGACACAGGTGCCTCTAATATTTCTAAGTAAAAAATTATTAGTATTATTTATTATTTATTCCAAATTCTGACAGTCTTTGTTGTATTATTTTTTATAGTAACCTGAAATGCAAGCTATACATAAGGGATATTTCTGTGGCTTTCATTGTGTTTGTGTGCATATTAAACACTGTGTCAAAAGTTAAAAGGGCATGGAACCCTATTGCAGTAAATAGGTATAATTGGGTCTTTATAAAAGTCAGGTAAAAGCACGCTTTAACAAATGAGAAATTACCATTATCGCTGGTGAAAGCAATTTTATGGCTCTGATTTTGCTGATATAACAAGAAGATGCCATGAACAAACAAATAAAGCCAGTGTTTCTGAAAAGGAGCAGAAAATAACATGCAAAAATAATATATACAAGTTTTTTATAGCTATATGCAAAAAGTTGTGATATTAAAAAGAATTGAGGTTTATTCACTAACAGTGAATTGTGGGGAAGTGAAAACAAAGCTACAACATGTATGCCAAATGAGTCAAACTGTAAAAATAACTGTATAACCATTTGTTAGGGAAATCACAAACACATAGAAACAAACAAAGAATTAGTTACCCAATCAAAAAAATGAATACGATTAGTTTGGCATGATCTCCCTGAAGTAAACCCATGTTGTCTCTGATCTTGAAATCCATGTGATTTTAAGATGTTCAGCAATCCTATCCTTTAACATGGTTTCCATCACTTTCCCCACTACTGAAGTAAGGCTTACTGGCCTATAGTTGCCCGACTCCTCCCTATTACCTTTCTTGTGAATGGGCACAACATTCGCTAACTTCCAATCTTCTGGGACTACTCCTGTTAACAATGATTGGTTAAATAAATCTGGTAATATTTTTGCTAGTACACCACTAAGCACTTTTAATAATTTTGGGTGAATTCCTTCATGCCCCATTGACTTATTTGTCTTTACTTTTGACAGTGGAAATAGAATATCTTCCTCTGTAAACTCACATGTAACAAATGACTCATTTGTCCCTTTTCCTAACTGAGGTCCCTTTCCTTAATTTCCATCTGTAAATTCTAAACAAAAATATTCAGTGAGGCAGTCAGCTAGACCTTTATCCTCTTCTACATACCTTCCTTCTTTTGTTTTTAATTTAACTAATCCTTCTTTTACTTTCCTTTTCTCATTTTTGTATCTAAAAATGTTTTGTCCCCTTTTTTTTACTGACTGTGCTATTTTCCCTTCTGTGTGTGATTTGGAAGCTCTTATAACTTGCTTAGCCTCTTTCTGCCTAATCTCATAGATCTGTCTATCTTCCTCATATGCTAACATTTTAATTTTTACTATTTTGGCCACATCTGCAGAGTACCATCTTTATATCAAAGATCTCCCTTACCGACCTATTGGCACTAAAAGGGAGTGGAGGGAGAGGAGGAGAGAGGAAGAGGCTCTAACCTCCAGCTCCGCCATGTGCTGTGAGTTTCATTTCCCAGGAGCTGCTGGCTAGATTTCTCTCACCACCAGACCACAAGGCATCTTTTACACACATTGAACCCCTCACACACACTGCACTCCTCACACGCGGCACCCCTCACATACGGTACCCCACACACACACACTGCACCCCTCACACACTGAACCCTCACATTGCACCCCCACACACTGCGCTAGTGGCACCAGCAGTGTAGCTTTTATCAAGTAATTGATTTTAATTTTTCAGTATATTAATTATACACTACTAGGTAGTACTTTTCGTGTGCTGGTCATCAGCATGCAGAGATCTATGAATCCAGGAAAAGCATACGTAACAACTGCACAATGTTCCAGGCAATTAAAAGATATGTTAGCTGAAACCAGAAAGTATGTTCTAAGTCCTGGTTAGTCTAAGGATGCAACACACTAGTGCAGATCACACTATTTAGTAAGAAAGGAACACAGTCTTGGCTTGTAAATTATATCTGCAGAAATAATTTCCTTTTGAAGATTAGCCTGCTGTCTGAAATGGTGACAATAAATTGGTGTAG